TTAAATAAAGTTTAATAATCAATTATACACTCTACCTGGCAGATGAAGTATATTTTAGAAAGTATGCATCTTTGTAATATCATGGCTACCTCAGAGAGAGGTTGGTCAGATAACAGGGAAAATGTCACCATTTTAAAAAAGAAAAACCTACATTTTTTTTTTTTTTGGTTTTTATGAGACAGGGTTTCTCTGTATTGTTTTGGAGGCTGTCGGTCCAGCCCAGCCTCGAACTCACAGAGATCCGCCTGCCTCTGCCTCCAGAGTGCTGGGATTAAAGGTGTGCGCCACCACCGCCCGGCGAAAAACCTACATTTTTATTGTATTACTGCTTACAAAAGCATGTAGGATTGTTTAAAATAATATACATCAACAATTCTGTTGTGAAAGAAAAAAATAACTATCTCTTAAAATATTAATTGCATATAACCTTGAGCTAGAAATGCTATGGTAGGAATTTGTCCTATAGACATTTACAACATTCTAATCATGGTCTTAAGGCCAAAATGTTAGAAGCATATAAAATTATTCAATTATAGAGAATAGCTAAATAAGTTTGGCTTACATGAGAGAGTAAAGCTAATTTATTATAAAAGTTGCTAGGACCAACTTTATTGGGAACAAAATGGACAAAAGGTTATTGGATGAAACATTCTGATTGTATTTGGGACACAGGGGTTGAACTCAGTGCTTCACGGTTGTTAATACACACTATCATGAGCGTCAACCCCAGCCCCAAAGCATTCTGATTAAAAAAAGAACCCACACTGTAAGATGTGGAACATCCATCTACACCTTAAATGCAAGCTTAATTCCCTATAGCATCCATACCCTATAAACTAACCACGTCTAATTTCCTCAATATACATTTTGTAGTTTTATGGTCATTCCATGATTTGAAGTGAAAGGCTACCTTACCAGAAGATTAAACAAAAACTGCAAAGTGAGCAGTTGGCTTGTTCCTTCTCAGCAAACATCCTGGAGAAAACTATTTAATATATCATTACAGAAGCAGAGTGTGCATGCAATAAATCTATCAGCAGAGTTAAAGCACCCACCTGGACCTTGGCCCCATCTGGCTAGTGCTCTTTGTCTGTGGTCGGTCGAGGCCTCCACAATGTACACACTCACCCAATATCTTCTCTGAGAGGGATTTACACTAGCATTATGCTTTGCTCAAACGTTCTTGGGTGAATGATTCTGTATTTCCAGTGTTTGCTTTTAAGATGCCAATTTAGAGATCAATTATAATTTCTCTTTTAATACTGAGAAAAACTGAATCACAATGTTAGGCTCAAAACACAACATCATTTTAAAAAGACAGGCTGTTAGCCTAGGAAATAATAGCAAGGATGGATAGGTGGGGTTGCATCAAACTAAAAGGCTCTTCAGAAAGAAAGATGCAGCAGAAGCCCAGGAATGGAAACAACCCAGGTGCCTACCAGCAGCTAAAATGCAACACCTATACAAAATGGAGTCTTATCTAGCCATTGGAAGGACAAATTGTCATTGGCAGAACAATGGATGGAACTGGAGATTGCCATACTAAGCGGAATAAGCCAGACTCTAGAAGACAAGTTTGGAGAAAGGAAAAAGCCATGAAAGTACAAGAGACAGGGGAGTAAGGGAGGCTAAGGAGCAAGGGTAGGGCATTAGGGTGCAAAAGGGGTGTGTGTGAGTATGATCAAAATACAGTATAGCATGTATGAAAATGTCAAGACGAAGCCCATTATTTCATATAATCAGTACATGCTAAAGCGAGGGAGGACACTGAAAAATTTAGGGACTGACAACATTGTCTACCTCTTGACTGTGTTGTTCACTGAATACATGCATTTGCCAGTAGTCATGTACTAATACACAAAAGATTACACAATATATATACTAAAATGCATGACAATTGTTGCAAAAAAAGTAGAGGAAAATCTAACTTTTGAGTGTAATAAAAACCCTGAAGTATCAATAATAATAACAAATAAATTACTATTTAGAACAAATTATATAATATTTTATATAGATTATAAGCTGATTCCTTACATTAGATCTAAGTAAAATACACCTTTATGCATAAAAAGAAAAATGCAGCATAGTACACTTAGTGGTTCCATTTTAAGAAGAAAGGGAAAGAGAAAATGGTTAATATAGCAATAAATGAAGTCATTACTTGGTATGTTCTAAGTTGTTGATTTCAGAAGAATGGGTAGAACTTTGGTCTTCACCTCACAGTTTATTTCTCACTATCAAACCACTGCCATTTGCCTAGCTGAAAATGAAACTTCCTTCTATATTTTGACTTTGCACTTTGAAACTTTCAGTTTACAAAAGTTACAATTGTTTTGGAGAGATTCTCACATGCTTTCCATCTTGTTCCCCACCATATTAACATCTTTCATTTGCTGTGCTGTTAACTTTGATAAGTTGCCAATAATTACTTTTCAGACCTTACTTAAAGTTGCTATTTGTCTTAGAAAAGTCCTATTTATGTCTGGGTTCAATGTTACATTCCTGAATTCCAAGTACTGTGGTGAGGAGTGGGCAGAGGCAGGAAGATTGTCACAAATTCAAGACCAGTCTGGCCTACATAGAGAGTTCCATGCTAACCAAAGCTACACAGTGAGACCCTATCTTGAGAGAGAGAGAGAGAGAGAGAGAGAGAGAGAGAGAGAGAGAGAGAGAGAGAGAGACCAGGAACCAACCCAGGAAGCCATGTTGCATGCTGTTGTTTTGTTTCTTTTTAACCAAGTATCTTGCTCAGTCTGTCTTTCATAACTTTAATTTTCATGACTTGGCAAGAATATTGGTGAGTTATTCTGTAATAGAGTCTCAGCTTGGTTTATACTACTTTTCTCATGCTTAAATTTGGATTACACATTGCTGTCGAGGATGCTTACAAATTAATGTTGACCATCTCTCCATATATCACCTGAGAAAGCACTCGATGTTCCCATAGCCCCAACTCCCCCTGCTGACATAGATCCCATGGTTAAAGTGCCTGCCAGCTTTCTCTGCTCTAAAGGTATTGTTTCCCTATGGTGGTTAATGAGTAGCTAGTGGAGAGATACTTTAAAACTATGCAAATATCTTGTCTCCCGTTGATACCCACTTCCTTTTCAGGGCTGACTATTGAACTCAGGATCTTATGCATGCTAGGCAAGTGCTCTAACATTGAGACATATCCCAAGCCTCTTTCGGGTTTTTGTTTTATTTGTTGGTTGGTTTGTCTGTCTGATTGTGGCAGGGCCTCCCTAATGTAGCCCAAGATAACCTTGCACTCACTATGCAGCCCAGGATGGTTTCCTTCTCACAGTTCTCTTGCCTCTACTTCTAGTGCTGGGAATTACTGGTGTGCACCACCACACCCTGATGCGTCTTTTGTTGTTGTTTTGTTATGTGTTTAATCATATTTTAATGACCTAATTTATAATCCATTTTTGTTTTTTAAAATACAGTTTTGTTAATGCATAACTTGCATAATATACATTATAATGGTACAACTCAATGAATTTTAAATGCATTCATACACCACAATCCAGTTTTAGAATATTTTCATTATACCAAAATTTCTTTGGGACTGGCAATATGGCTCAGTAGGTAAAGATGCTGGCTGTGCAAGCCTTACGACATGAGTTCAATCCCCAGAACCCACATAAAGACGGAAGGAAGTTATCCTCTGACTCCACATATACTTTGTGGCACAGGCCCATCCCCACCACACACACACACACACACACCACCCCCACCAACAATAACAATAATAATAGTAATAAAAATTTTTAAAGTTCTTTTGCATCTGTTTGTCATCAGTCTGCTCTGCACTTGAGGCCCTGGGTAACCACTAATGTGCTTTCTGCCTTAGTCACATGACTTTTTCATCATTCTCTTGCTTGGAATTTACTCCTGCTCCTTACAGCATGTCAGCATTCCCCTGCATTTTTGAAGTCAGAGACTGTCCTAGTTTGCTTTTTATTGCTGGGATAAAGACCATGACTCCCCCCCCCCCAAACTGGGCAAGAATTTATTTCCATTATACCTCAGGTCATACTCCATCACTGAGAGAAGTCCAGATAGGAATTTAAGGTAGGAGTGAAGCACAGGGAATAGAGGAGTGGTACCTACTGGCCTGGTCTCCCTGGCTTGCCCAGATTGCTTTCTTATACAACCCAGGACCTCCTCCTACCCAGAGGTGAAACTGCCCGCAGTGAGCTGGGCCCTCCCACATCAATCAGTAATCCAGAAAATGCCCCGGCAGCCTTGCCTACAGGCAATCTGATGAAGGCATTTTTTCAACTGAGGTTCCCTCTACAGAGGGGACCCTACATTATGTCAAGTCAACAAAAAACTAGCTAGCACAAAGACATGATCTTTGATCTCATAAACGCACCAAGCATTTTGACTATTTCCAAAATTACTCCAGACTCTTACAGGATTTTTGCTTTGTTCCTGCTCTTCACCTAGATGAGTTACCTTCAAGTTCATAAGTACCTCAGAATGTGACTATATATGGAGTAATTGGGGATAACAGGAGGTCATATAGGCAGGCATTAATTCAGTATTAGTGGCCTGATAAGAAAAGGGATTAAGACACAAAGGCATTGGTCAATGGAAGACTGTGAGGACGCAACGAGCAGAGACACTTGACACTTGCAATCCAAGAAGAAGGTCTCCACAGGAGACCAGAGCTCTCCCCACCTTACCTCCCACCCCACCCCCTCCCCCTCCCCCACCTTACCTCACTCCCCACTCCTCCCCCATCCCCCACCTTATCTCCCATCCCACCCCCATCCCCCACCTTACCTCCCACCCCACCCCCTCCCCCATCCCCCACCTTACCTCCCACCCCACCCCTCCCCCACCTTACCTCACACCCCACTCCTCCCCCATCCCCCACCTTACCTCCCACCCCACCCCACCCCCATCCCCCACCTTACCTCACACCCCACCCCACCCCCATCCCCAGGCACTACTGGCAGCTGAATCTTCATGTCTTTCTTTTGTAGGTGGTCAGATATCACAGAAGGATCTTCTAGTCTGCAGGATCATGGTGAAGGACTTGGGATTTTATTGTGTTAACGTATATTCCCATTTATAGAATTGAACCCATATTTGCCAAGTGTTCCTCCAGAAGGAGGCTATATACCGTATCCAGGCTCATGAGGTTAGTTCTGGGGTTTTGTGGACCCGAGGAACCATTTTCTAAACAGGCTTGTTATTCATGTCTGTTCTTCACCTCACCTTTCTCCCCACTGCCGAAGCATGAAAGGAGGCCTCTCATGCAACCAGATTGAAACAGCGTCCCTCTTGGAGGCAGAAGAGAGGCTCTTTTAAGACTCAGGAACTAAACCAAATGTGTGAGACACGTAACGGCAGAAGTCTCCGGAAGCTGCTAAAACTTACAAGAATCACACTCCACACCCCACTCCATCCCTGTTACAGGAGCAGTACCAATTGATCGGGAGAACCCCGGGAGAACTCCCGGTTGCCTGTAAGTTGTGTACAGAACTCCAGAGATGGTTTTGTGAACCATCATTCATGACAGGATGTAGCTGCCTTTGATCCAGTAAATGATCCTCACACACAGTCCTGGAACCTCAACACATTCCCTAGTTTACTAAGCAGACTTAGGTGGGATCGTTTCTCCAGGCAGTCATTGGTGCTCCATCTCAGGTAGACTGGAGTTCGTTGACACCTGTGAGGTTCATGGTAGGTTGCCAGGAAAGGAGGAAGACCACTGGGTTAGGAGGGAGTGGGGGAGTAGAGAGAACACATGGCTGTGGGCACACAGGCAGGCTGGTGAAGGCAAAAAGCTAAGACCTCTGACCCCAACGCCATATTTGTACAGAATCACACAAAAGTGGCACTCTGCCAAAAGTAGTTATGTAACAGATCACATCCCTGTTTATTTTGGGAGTCCCCAGACATCTGGTGTCAGCCGTTTTGTGCTGATTCATACCGCCCCCATGCCCAGTGTTAGCTGACTCATGCGGCTATGTTGCCAAAACCTCCCAAGGAAAATTCATATACCAAGTAATTCCCATTTTTCACCAAGGCATGTCTAGCAGTCATTTTTATCAGGTCAACTAATGAAATTACCTCTTAATCTATTGGACTCTTGATTCCAAATCACATCCTTTTTGTCTTCCTAAGGCATCCTCTTGGTGGGTTTGGCCTTTGGAACATCTCCTTTCCTGTCGGTTTTACTAGTTCTCAGCAAAGAACCAGAGCACACATGTATTTAACTGGTTGTGTCTGTTTAGAGGTCCAATATGCATCTGTGCAAGTAAACTAAAACCTGGCTCGGGAGGGTAAAGTTGAACGAACACATGATTGACAGTTTTGCCACAGGACATCTCCACTCATAACTTTTCTGGTCAACAACTGTGTCCATGCAAGTTATACCTTCGACTCGTACTTTCTCACTTTCATACCTCATTTGTGGACAGAAAGGGAAACTAGTAGTAGCTGTAACTACAACCAAAGGGATCCTGTAAGATATCCTACCCTAGTTAGGCATTGGTGGCACACGCCTTTAATCCCAGCACTTGGAAGGCAGAGGCAGGTGGATCTCTGTGAGTTCGAGACCAGCCTGGTCTACAGAGTTCCAGGACAGCCTCCAAAGCTACACGGAGAAACCCTGTCTCAAAAAAACCTAAATAAATAAAAAGATATCCTACCCTCTGACCTTAGTTGTGGACTGTAGTTCAAGGTTACAACTAACAGTCCAGCTGATGCTTTAACTGAGGAACCCACTCAGTGTGTGCTGGACACTGGCTAGGCAATACTATATGTATTAGCCTATTTAATCTACCCTTCAACCTGACAAAATCCATCTTTTCCTTTATTTTAGGACAAGGAAACCTGAGACTTTGAAAAGACAAAAGGTAAGTGCAATTTTACCACCTTTCAGTGGGGAAGATAAGAGGTTTAATATAAATGCAAACTGGCTGACTCCCAAACACCTTATCCCACCATGCTGGTTTGTTCTTTTGTGTCTCAAAACAGTCTGAGCATAATGGCTTGGAACTCGACAGGTAGCTCAGGCTGCTGGCCTTGAAGTCATGGAGATTCTCCAGCCTCAGCTTCTCAAATGCTAAGATTATACATATTCAGGGTGTTGTCATAAAGATCAGTTCTTGCCAGGGCTATTGAATGTGCATTTCCGTGTCCCAGCTTATCAATTGTTCCTTTCTCCTTCTCCAGTCCTGCTCCCTACGCTGTGTGTTCTTTATCAATGAACAGTCTTCAGTTGTTTCAGTTTTTGCAAAATCCTGGCCTACCTCCATTTTTTCTGCCCACCTTACCCTTCACATTTTAGGGAGAAATTCTATGACCCCTCAGGCATCAGTGTGGTGCCATGCACGTGCTCATAAGGCACATGAAGAACCCTCTTTAGCTGGGTTGAGAATGTAGCAGTTACTAGAGTGTCTGTGTAGTGTGTTTGAGGCCCTGGGTGAATCCCTAGGTTCACCTGTGCAAACTAGGTAAACATCTGTTATTCAAGCACTTGAGAGGTGGAGGCAAGAGGAATACGGGCCCAATGTTTTCAGCTACATAGTGAGTTTAAGGCCAGCCTGGATACCTGAGACCCCATCTCAGGGAAGGCAAAAACTGAAGGAAGAAAGGGAGGGAGGGAGGAAGGAAGGAAGGAAGGAAGGAAGGAAGGAAGGAAGGAAGGAAGGAAAGAAAGAAAAAAAGAAATTTCCTTACTCGAGTAAAACAATAATTACTAATCATTCTTTGTAAAAGTTACCTGTTGATGACAGCTGGGATGGTTGAGTGGGTTAAGGCACTTACCACCATGCCTCAGTTTGATTCTACGGAAGTCACACAGTGGAAGAGAAAGATCCGATTCTAGCAAATCGTCCTCGACATTCCTATATGCCATGTGCCATGAGCATCTACACGCACACTCCCTCACTCAAATAAATACATGTAAAAAATAATAAATTATTTCTTGGTGTGACTTCTGAACATGGTATAAATATTCTTAGTTTTCATGTGATTACAGGTGACTCTTGAGGAGTATAAATAAATGCACAAAGTGGGCTTCACATAAACCTCTGACTGAATTAATGTTATGATTTTAAGCATTTGTTGAGTAGGATGTTATAAAAAGTCCTTGATGACTTTCATTATTATTCAGAGCATTGATACTATTTTACCATACTTCTTCTTAATACAGGGGATCAAACCCAGAGCCATGCTAGACTTCTGAGTTGTATCTTTAGCCTTTGAGAGATGGGGTCTAGCCATATAACTGAGATGAGCTTTGACTGCACATTATAGCCAGCTTGACCTGTACCTATTGGCTGTTGGGATTATATGTGTGAGACATATCCAGTTTGGACATTTTATGGTTTTTGTTTTTTTTTTTGGTTTTACGAGACAGGGTTTCTCTGTTTTGGAGGCTGTTGGTCCAGCCTGGCCTCGAACTCACAGAGATCTGCCTGCCTCTGCCTCCCGAGTGCTGGGATTAAAGGCGTGCACCACCAACGCCTGGCTCAGTTTGGACATTTTAAATTATTCTGTGGACACAAATCCAAGAAGTAACTGCTGACAAATTTGAAAATACTAATCTTCACTGTGTAACTTTAAAACATGAATTTTCATCTAAATAAAACCTATAAGGCTCTTTTTCTCAGATGATAAACTATCATGCTTTGAAATCTTTCATGTTAACAGAAAAAAAAACCATTACATAGTTTTAAGTACAACAAACACACAAAAATATGTAAAAGCAATGCAAGAAACATTGAGAAATGAATTTCAAATTTCCAGTTGTTACTGTAAATAGGTAGGTTGGAATTTTCTGGGATCTAAGTGATAAAAGTTCTTATCATAACTCCAAAGGAAATGGAAAGCCATCCATCATTTATCAGAATTTGTGCAGATTTCTCAGTGACATGGTTTTCTCCATCTCAAACATTCTAAAACTCTTAAGCCAGCCAAATTTAAACCAAAGATCGATGGGATAAAATATAAAGAATGAGGAAAAATAACTCTTCAAAACAGCCTACCTTTGTACATGCATAGTATTGTTTTTTGTGTAAAAAGTTCGACTGGTAGCCGGGCAGTGGTGGTGCACACCTTTAGTTCCAGCACCAGGTGGATCTCTGTGAGTTCGAGACCAGCCTGGTCAATAAGAGCTAGTTCCAGGACAGCCTCCCAAGCCACAGAGAAACCCTGTCTCAAAAAACAAACAAACAAAAGTTCGACTGCTTTGTTCTGAAATATATGTCTTTAGATAGCCTTGAGAATCTTCCTGTAGATGCTGGTTGGAATTAGGGAAGGTCTAGGGGTGCTGCAGATTGCCCTTAAGTTACCTTGGAGAAGCACAGTCACTGATTAAATATTGGTTGTCTGACGGTATTCACGAGATGGATACCCAGAAATGAGAACAGATGGTCTCCTCATAGAAGCGACATTACAAGGAAACTTCAGAAACATGATGAACACAAATGGTTTCACTTCAACCTCGAAGGAAAAGAGTGGCTTATGGTGTTGATGGTCGGGATGTTCATTCTGGGGAAACAACCATGAAGAGCTATGATGTGGCCCCTTGTAGTTGTCAATGTTCTCTTCCTTGTTCTTGGCCGACACTATGTAAGTATGTTTATTATATTCAGACTTGCTTCTATGTATGTTACACACTGAACAAATTTTACTCATAAATAATAGAATTAATATGGATTGTATAGCATAGCATTTATATCATATATAGCATGAACTATCTGTCATTTTCCAGTAATCTGCTCCTCTCCCCAGAGCCTGTAAATGAGGCACAGAATGCGCAGTGACTTCCCTAAGTGTGGCTTCCTGATAGGATACCTAAAACTATACATTGATAGGGGAGGGGTACTGAAATGTAAGTTGCTCCAGAAGAATTTTAAGGTATTTCCAAAACTGGATCACTGTGTGCAGAATTTTTACTAAGGAATTTCTGACTCAGCTCAATCCCACAGGAGTTAGATTTCACATTTCATACATGAGAGCATCCTTCCCTTCCATGTTCTCCTTTATACACTCCTCTCAAATCCATGTCCTCTGTTTTCTGTAATCACACACACACACACACACACACACACCTGACTGAGTCTGGTTAGTGTTGCTTGTATATACTTGGCTGAGGGTTAGCCACCAGAGAATGGACAACCTATCAGGAGGCAGGTTGCCCCTTAAGAGACTGACCCTCTCTCCCTCAGCAGCCACTGAGCTACTGACTGCCCATAGGTCTTCACCTGGGGTGGGGCCTTATGTGCTCTTCCTTAATCCATGCTGGAATGTTGGCTGGCATGATCGTGTTTGGGTAACCATATTGTTGGGAGTTCATGGGTGTAACGTCCCTGAAGGAAGACAATAGACGGCAATAAAAGATGGAAAGCCCTTCCATGCTTGTAGATTGGTAAAATCAACATTGTGGAAATGACCACACCTTAAGACAATGTACAGATTTGTGACATTGCAGCTACCTGACAGTCAACAAAGATGCCAAAAATACATACAGGAGGAAAGAATGTTTTCAATAAACTGGGCTGGGAAAGACTGGGTATCCACGTGTACAAAAATGAAACCAGACCCTTGTCTCTCTTCACAAAACCTAACTCCAACTTGATCAAAGACTCCAGTGTGAAACTGAATCTCTGAAACTCCCACAGGATCTCTCCCTCCCTCCCTCCCTCCCTCCCTCCCTCCCTCCCTCCCTCCCTCCCTCCCTCCCTCCCTCCCTCCCTCCCTTTTTTCCTTTCCCCTTTCTTTCTCTCTTTCTCTTTCTTTCACCTCCCTCCTCTCCTCCCCATCCCTCATCCCTCCCCTACCTTCCCTCTGTACCCCCATCCACTCCTCCATTTCTAGTCATAAAAGCACAGATATCCACAAAACATGGCATATCACATTATAGTAAGAGTAAACAGCTTGTCTTGTATTAAGGCTGGGCAAGGTGACCCAGTATGGGGAGTAAGACCCCAAAAGCCAGTTAAAGAGTCAGAGACACCCCCTGCTCCCACTATGAGGAGTCCCACAAGAAGACCAAGCTATACAACTGTCATATATATGCAAAGGGCCTAGATCAGTCCCGTGCAGGCTCTGTGAGGCCCTAAGAGCTCAGGTTAGTTGATTCTGTCCCACAGAATTCTTGAAGAGGAATGTTACTCAGGAGAGTCCTCATTCTGCTTATGGAGGGATTATTGGCAAAAGCTGCCACTCCCTCCTTTCCGGAGAGCCTAAAAGGACTATTTCCTGCAGCTGCCAGCCCCAGAGGATGCTGATGAACTGGACCGTGATCTGGTCACGAAGCCTGGGGAGTCAGGGTAGGCCATGTGAGATCCGTAGGCTTGCCAGGCTGAATGAGCTTTTCCTCTGGATCAGATGTAGCTCACGTGGAAGAGATCTACTCAGAGAGAGACTCCAGCCTCTGGGGACGGAAGGAGAGACTGTAAGTAGGCTACCAGCTATCCACAGGAGCAGAAACACATGAATCAGGTGAAGTGAGCTGCAGGATAGAGCAAAGAGTAATCTTTTAAATAACCTCCAAAAACCTCAAGAAAGCCAGCTTTGAATGTCCACCAGGCACAGAAAGCCCAAGCATGTCAGTTCTTTAAGAGGGCTGCCATTCCTCAGACCCCCTCCCCCATCCTCAAGAACCAGAAACTGGCCACCAGCTATGATGGAAGAAGGAAGTGGAGCAGAGTGGAGAAAACAACTTTGCATTCTTCCTCTCCGTTTCTGCCCCCAACAGACGGCCTGGAGAGCAACCTCTAAGGGAAGACAGATGAAGCTGCGATTGGTATCTCCAGGAGCTAGTCTGTTCTTTTTCTTTCTTTTCTGTTTGTCTTGAGACAGGGTTTCTCTGTGTAGCCTTGGCTGAAGTTTGCTCTGTAGAGATCTGTTTGTTTCTGCTTCCCCAGTGCTGGGACCAAAGGCCTGTGCCACCAGTGCTGGGCAGTTAAGCCATGTTTTCAACCAAGGGTTTTTACCTAGGAAGGGAAGAATCGTGGAAACTTTCATGTGAGCATTTGTATTTGCGTTGATTTTTTGTTTAAACATACTTTTCTTTATTGATTCTTTGGGAATTTCACATCGTGTACCCCGGTCCCACTCACTTCCCAGTCACTCCATATCCTCTCATCACCCCTGCAGCATTCCCCAACCCCCCCAATCAATTAAAAACAAACACGCAAACCCACCTTGCTCATCACCTTTCAAATACCTCTTCATTCATCCTAGTGGCACTGGATGCTGCGGTGTCCCACGCAGTATACCCTTTTGTACAATCAGCCCCACCCACAAATTGTTCATTGCAACCACGGGTCTTGTTCAAGTCCTCTGGCACACTATCATCACTGGATCCTCACTGAAACTCCCCTCAGGCATCCTGCTGTTGCCGGGAGCCATGGATATCCTGCAGATATCCTTCTACAGGACAAGTCCCTTCACGAACTCAACAAGTCATAGACGCAGTAGAGGTTAAGGTAGGCCAATCAAAGGACTTCAGGTCTCTCTTTTTTTTTTTTTTAGTTTGTTTTAAAGCAATGATTGAATCCTGCAAAGAAGTATTTGGGGTCCTTAGCTCTCAGTTGCCTGCCCAGGACAGCTCAAGGATCCTCTTAAAACTATACTTTCCTTTTTTGAATTCTTATAACTCTTTGAGCCACCTCACCTTTCAGATTACGCCACTTTTAGAAATTATTCTTCTCCATTAAAGAAAAGAATTCAAGCTAAGACTTCTAAAAACTATTCCTCTTCATTCTTCTAAAGAAAAAAAAAACAAGCAAAGACTTTAGATAATGACATCTTTAAATGGCGGGTTTGAGCCTCTACTTTTGTTTTTGTTTCTCAAGACTGGGTTTCTCTGTGTAGCCCTGGCTGTCCTGAAACTAGCTCTGTAGACCAGGCTGGCCTCGAACTCACAAAGATCCACCTGCCTCTGCCTCCTGAGTTCTGGAATTAAAGGCGTATGCCACTACAACCCGGAGCCTCTACTTTTAAAAAAATTGTATTGTTATTGTGTGTATGTGTGAATGACATACATGCAGATGCTATAGTCCAGGTAAAAAGGTTGCAGATGATCACACACTAACA